ATATATAAAATCTGTGCACAGATTTGCAGTTTTGGTCTTATCAAGATTGTTTCAGTTAACGGCTTGACTGGGTAGGATATTGAATTGAAGGTTCCCTACTTCCTGATTAGTATTCCATGTCAATAAAAGTGTATGATGTTATTTAGAGTCATCTGTTTCCTGATTTTTCATTTATAAGAAGTGCTTTGGCAACAACCAGACTCCATCCTTGCATGGCAACTGTCTTTAACCTGTGGAGTGGCACAATGAGTGCGCTTGAGGCTGTTCCAAAATCATGCGTGGCCCCATGGTTTCCAGAGGGGCCTGACCGATACATACGAGGGGCGGAGAAAATAATTTAGGAATATATTCTAGAATGTCAAATAAAATACTGGAGGGGCTTACCTGCAGCTACACAGATTTTTGATGAGGCTACAGCACCCCTAGTCCTTGTGTCACTCCACCCTTGTCCAGAATCTTGATTTAGCCAAACTTGCAGCATCTGTGAAGGCCTGGGTTTCCTATGTTGTCTCACACTAACTGAAGTTGTCATCAATGCTTCTCATAACAATGTAATCCAATTGATCATCCTCCACTATGTCGGCACTCTCAAATACGCATTATTATGCAGTCTGCTCGAACATGAAAATCCGCCCATACAGAGATACATACAGTATGAGGAAGTACACTCGTGACTAAATATGCAAAGTGTGCTACCTTGTATGACATAATTCACAAGATATGTTGACGATATTAACAGTAGGCTTTTGTTCTTTTCCCAAATGAAGAGGCTATGACTATCATGCATTGCCAGTTTGTAGCATTATGTAATATCATTGTGTAATTTGACAAACACACGTGCCAGCACTTTTAACATAACTGCACAATTTACATTTTTATATGGCACCCATGACAATGCTTGGAAATAATACATTACTGTAATTTTATAACGCTTGTCCCCATTAAGGTTGCACGTTGGCTGGGGCTTATTCTTGGCTGATTTTGGATGAGACGGGGGTTACACTCTGAACTGGTCGGCAACCAATTGCAGGACTAACATTGAGAAAAAAACATTTACAGGTACATTCACACCTATGTCCACTTTAGAGTTTTCACTCAGGCTAACGAAGGAAGAACAGGCAAATACTACAGAGGAGAGTCTAAGATTTGTAATATAAATCCAGAACCTTTGACTGCGCTAGGCTTGTTCACTACTTCTCCAATGTGTTGCCATCAAGCTAGCGACAGTAAAAAATAAATACATAAATAAATAATAAATCGGAATCTACTTTATTTCTGTACAGACTTCATTTTGAAATGATCTAAACTCACACGTTTCCCCAGACTACTCAAACAGGGGCATTGTAAGGGGGTAAAAAGTGATTATTTTTAAGGGCCCATGACTGACAGGGACCCTCGAAAGCAAGCACTAAAGTGGTGGGACCCAACGCGACATATTTCCAGGTGCCGGAAAGGCCCCGGAGCCCTCCCTGCACATGACACGCCTCCAATGACCTACGGTCAGGTTTTTCCAGGTTGCTTGAGCACCCACAGTCCATGACATAAATGTCAGGTGACTAAAGCTGTCATACTATATCAATCGGCCCTCCCTTTCCAAGTGTCCATCAGAACAAGTTTGCTGATCAGACACTGGCCTGCTTTCCTATTGGCCTCTGGTTCCTAATAGGATCCCAGGGACTCTGATGGGGGGGATTAGGGTTCCAAACTCTCCACTTTGCCTCGTCTCTGTGTCCTCCAACCATGGGTTTGGCGGTTTAGGGGGCACCGCACATGCACAGACCCACCAAGGCGCTAATTAACGACAAGATCACATCAAGAGAAGGAAATCTTTGATTCCAGTTTGGATGGGTCGGGGGTCGACCACAGATTGATTAGTTACCCAAGTGGGAAAGGTGTCATCTCCAGGAAAAAAAAAGGACTCTTTTCTCAATTGTCAATTTTCTGTCAATTTTTAAAAAAATCTCAGATTATACATCAATCACTTTTTTTCCCCCCAAATTCTTTATCAAAGTGAATTTGCGCTTTTGGATTATGGACTCAGATTGACTGTCCTCTGCTTATCCTTTCCACCTGGAACAACTTGGATTAGCTCAACCCGCTAATAACTCACCAGCGTTGGCCTACTTTGACCACTGGATTACAACACAACTTCTGAGGGTTTTCCTTTTTCATGCAGCTGGCCACCTCTGGATTCACGGAACGTTGTAGAGCTCCATTCTCCTCACCCTTACCTTTATTTCCTTTCTCATCTTTTCTCTTGCGTTTGGAGTCGAGCCGTGCGCGATAAGGAGCCATGGCGCTGCTGAAGATGAAATTCACCCAGCAGAGGCGAGTGCGTCTGGCCCAGGGCCTGTGGCTCTTGTCGTGGATGGCCGTGTTGTGCGGCTCCTTCGTCTTTTCCTTGGGGGTCTACCTTAAGATAGAACTGCTCCGTCGGGCTGAGGTAAAGCTTGAATGAAAAAAAAAAAAAAAACGCATCGTGAGGGGTTGACAAAGTGCTGACCTTCACATACAACCCACTTTGTTCTTTAATCTGGCCCATTGAGTATTTACTTTATCAAGAGTCCTGTAATATTTGTTGCATTTGAGGTTATTTTCAGTATAAACATAAGCACTCTGATAGTCTTACTGTGAATAGTAAAACTAATTGCGGAGGTGGTGACCTTTCAAACTCAATGTGAACTCACTGATGTCCTTTGGACCGATATTGATTGCCAACATTAACAAGTAGCTGACTGCACAGGACATCTGCAGGACATCAATGTGCGACTTGCGGCTTCTTCTACATTATCGATCACCAGTATGAGCGAGGCCACCGTCCTCTACAAGTCATGAAGCAAAGTGTTATTGATTTGCTTGAGAAGGAGCATTGACTGACGCACAAAAAAAAAAAAAGGCAAGAGAACAACACTTGCTTCAAAAGTCTAAAGCTTTGGCACCTATAAGAAGATTGATTCACATTGTGATTCGCAAGTTGTACTTGTCACAAATCATTCCAATTGCAAATTGTTCAGTCAGGGCTACTCAAAGGAAAAGGACATAGGAAAAAATAAGCAGACTGAGTGTGTTAAATCAAAATAAAAAACTAGCAAATTCACTTCACAGCATAAGGATGAGCTTTCCTTCCCCATGTTATTTAAACCATGGAAATACCATACAATAGAAACATTAAATTGCAGTCCCAATGAAACAATTATTGTAGAAAAAAATCTGTCTTTTACTATTCTATGCTTTTGGTAACCTTTCAATGTGTTCTTTCCTTGTGGAGGTGATGGAGAACACAGAGATCCACGTGGTGCCCAACATCCTGATGCTGGTGGGTCTAGCCTCCATCGGCACCAACTGGATGGCCGGCCGAGTATGCCAGGACTCTTTGGACCCCAGCCGCTTCCCACGCTGGAAGGTTTTCCTGCTGGGCTGGTATGCTGTGGCCGCACTCATCTGTTGCCTGCTTGTCGCCGTGGTGGTGCTCAGCTACGCCCTGCAGGGGCGCTTGGAAGAGTCTCTGAAGGTTGGCTCATATATTAGAGTTTTTTTTTTTTTTGAGCAGGGGATCTCATTTTTAACCCTGTAGTTTCATGGCTCAAACCAACCCACTTTAGTTCACAACCTTTTAATGACGATATACAATTTCAGGGTTATTAGCGTATCAGTCCAAAATAGTTGATCATTCCCTCCATTGATATTTCATTTTGCATTTAATCAAAAATTACAATGACAATTAAATGTGCTCACAAGATCACGATCAGTGCTTATTTGAACAAGTATGAGAACATAAACTGTTCAAATGGATAAAAGGTGACAAAAGGACCAATATGCAAGGGTACATGACATGGGTTAAAAAATTTTACACTTAAAAATGCACATTTATCAAATGCTCTCTAGCCAGATTTAGGTAGCGAACATGGTGCTTCCTGTTATCGCTGTTATTTGAAACATATTCATAACCACTTCCAGGGCACATCATCGTGTATTGACGCTAACTTTAAAGCAACAGATCCTGTATAAGAGAAATGCAGGATTTCCCATGCTTTGTTGCCATTATAAGTAACAATTGTGACTGTGTTATGTCTCTTTCGTTTGTTTCCGTACAGACAAGGCGTAATACAGTTACGGTGGCGTTGTTTCTAGTTGTGTATTAAATTATCAAAACTTTTGGTCTTAAATTCTTGCGACTTAGTAACACCCTTAAGAACAAAGGTAGTGCAGACAGTGTTACACATAGTATAATAGACTACCAGAAGCAATGAATGTGTTAGCAGTGCATTTATATGAAAAGGCGATAATACATGTCACAAACTCACTTTATTTGCAGAGTTCAAACATAATGCAGCCCAGTCGACAGGAATCTTGCCCAATTTTCCAAATTACCCACTCGAGGCCTGATGCTGAGGACCTAAAAGTCGATATGCACTGAATGGGCACAAAACTTAAAACCAATTTGCATAAGCTAATGCGATCTAAATATGATCAGGAAAACTGCCTTTAATTGGCACTTTCAGAGAAATATTACACATTATGCAGTGTAGCACTGGATTGTATTTTAAGAGGTGTGACAATTAATTGACCATTAATCGATTATCAAATGAATCAATAATTATTTTTAATAATGGATGAATTGTTAAGATACATTTTTTTGATTTAAGATAGTCCAAATACTCAGCATTTCAGCTACTCAACAGTAAATGTAGTCTTATTTCTGTAGTTCTCCATGAAAATTGACTGATTTTATTTGTGTTGAATCCAAATAATTTGCTTTTACTTTGGAAAACAATGATGAACATTTTTGTGTTTTTTGACATGTAATGGATCAAACCAGGAACGTTATCATTATTTATTTGTTTCAGCATTTTCTGCAATGTCAATTTGATTTAAGCAATACTTGTGTTGTTGAATAAATTGATTAATTGACAAAATGATCAACAGATTAATCGATTACGAAAATAATTGTTAGGTGCAGCCCCACGTATTCTATAAAAAAACACTAGATTACATAAACACTGTGAAATATAGATATAGTTCACAGTGTTTATGTAATGTCACAATAAAACAAAGGTTAGTGTGGTTTTAAAAGAAAGGCCGCAGGAAATTTTTAGCAGGTGGGCTTGACATTTTTTTTTTTTTTTTTTTTGTGGTTGTTGTTCCTTTTTGGCAAGTCATTACAAAGACAGAAAAGCAGCCATCCTTTATGAATGTGTCTCTTTCAACTCAGGTTGGTTTGAGGAATGGGATCCGTTTCTACAAGGACACTGATGTTCCGGGCCGCTGTTTCCAGAAAGAAACCATAGATCGTCTGCAGATGGAATTTCGTTGCTGTGGAAACACCAATTTCAGGGATTGGTTTGAGGTGCAGTGGGTCAGCAACAGATACCTGGACTACACCTCCAAGGATATCAAGGAGTAAGTGCATGATAATACACTGATAAGCTCAGTGAACAAAGAAAAGTCATAAAGATAAGATCCTTACATGCACGAGTGGAGTGGAAGTTCAAAAGCTATGATGACTGTGCAAAACAGTGACTTACTGATAAAGGAAAGGATTCATCATATTAGTGTACAAGAGTGTGACACGCCGACACACCGCTCTGCTAACTACAGTGCGTGTAATAGTGGTTAAAGTGGAAGCCAAGAAAAAATATTTTTAACAATATGTTCCATGCGCCCCTACTAGTCTATACATGGAATCATGATTAATATTGCACGTGTAGAATATGAGTTGAGCATAAAAAAAAAAAAAAAAAAAAAAATCTGCTTGTTTTTATTCTACTCAGGGGGCGGCCAGTTTGCCTTGTACTGACACTTGCTGTTGACTAAAAATGACAGTTGGCTAAGAGCTCAGGTAACAACCGTCACGGCTCACCTGGGTTTGGTCACGTGATGTTCGCAAGCTGAGCCCTTAGGTACTATGATGTCATTTTCAGTCGAGAGCAAGTGGCAGTACAAGGCAAAATGGCCGCTCCCAGCTGACATGCATGAAAACAGGTTGATTTTTCTGGTTCAATCATATTCCACAAATGCAATATTAATCAGAATACTGTGCTTAGATTAGTCGGGGCTCATAGAATATATTATTGCAAATACATTTTTTGACTTGACTTCATTTTTAAATGAAACTGCTGTCCACCCTGTCATTATGAGGTAACTGCCGCTTTAAGAAGTCCTTTGGTGTTTTAAGTGACATTATTACCAGCATCTTGTCTTTCTTCAAATTGAGGCTAAAACAGTGGACAGTTACATAATAAATATTTACATTTTCGTAATTATCATCATTTTATGTCCACCACACGCTCATAAAATTCAAACATGAGCCAAAAATTTCCACCATGTTATCGTCCCCCCTGTTAGCAGGTTCACATACTTTGCATTACATTGCTTGCAGAAATGTTATTTTAAAAAAAGTATGAGAATGTGCATTTCAAACAGCATAACATCCACTTAACACATGGAATGTGAAGTTCAATAGAAAATCTCAGCCTCAAAGCACCTTATGGTGATGTTGACTCAGTAAAGTTTTTACTGTAGCTTGTTTTTGTGACTTTTCATTTCCTATAATTTATAATTTATTAT